TGAAACACTGGAACAGGTCGCCCAGAGAAGCTGTGGCTGCCCCCTCCCTGGCAGTGTTTGAGGCCAGATTGGACAGGGCTCTCAGCACCCTGGTCTGGTGGAAGGGGTCCCTGCCCATGGCAGGGGGCTGGAGCTGGATGATCTATAAGGTCCCTTCCAACCCAAACCATTCTACGATTCAATGAAAAATGGGTGTAGCTGTGGCTTGCAAGAGCAAGATGAGAGGACTCCGAAACACTCTGCTCCGCTGTTCTCAACAAGTAAGCACACGGAAATACGCTGTTGCGTTACTGCAACGCATCTTCCGAGTAGTGTAAAATCCTAGGCACAAACCTAGCTGTGTATTGCTGCCAGGTGCTGTTTGCAGAGCACCCTGTAGCACCCAGGGAACTGCGCAGAGCGAGGCAGAGCTCTGCAACGCACAAATTCCTTCCCTTTTCACCCTTCCTTTGCCACCTTACACCCAGCCTGCGAGCAAGACGACATTAAGGTTGCAAATACAGACAACGAAACCCAGAGGAGAGGCAGCACTCGTTTAAGGTACGCGCCTGCCCATCAGTAATGCGGTAACGGGCGCTGGAGATGCTGCAGCACAGGTATCTGGGTGGCTCCACGGTGGGTCATCCAACCTCTGGGACTTCCGAGCTGCAAGTTGGTACCGAGGTCTCTGGAGAAATGGCAAGATTATTTAACAACCTGGGTACGCTTACGGGTTGAACAGCCGCAAAATTAAATTCTTTAGTCCCGAGGAAACCCAGGGCAGGGTAAGCCTGAACACAGCCATCTACTGCTGGCAAGAAGAGAGGGCTGCCTGCCCCAAGCTCAAGAGATTAAGGGTGTTCACAAACCGGGCCAGCCGTCCCTTGGGAACCCGTAACCTGCATAAAGCAGGGTGTAAGGGGCACAACGCTGAACCAGGTTCCCAATTCTGGGAGGTGGTGAAGCCACACGTTCAGAAATCGTGGAAAAGTCGCTTTTGTGAGCCTGCGGGCTTTCCCCTGGGGTGAGGCTGCTTTAAGCTGTTGGAGATGTGGTCACCAACCTGAGCTGCGCACTGCTTACCGTGCGTTTTCCTACGTAGAACCGAGCGTTATTTCCTCTTCTGATTTAACTGTCCCAAGAGGAAGCTCAACACAATTGTTTGTGAATTTTATCAAGGACAATAATTCAAAATCTCAAAGGTGGGGAGTTCCAGAGCATCACTTCAGTCACTTCCTCCGCGTTGTCTCGTGGACGGAGCTCTTAAAACCTTCCTTTTGTCTAAGCTCAAGCCATAGTTTTTGCGCTGAACCCACAGTAGCAATAACACTGACCAGAGCTGCAACCTGCTCAACACATTTAGCGTGGCAGAAGCACTCAGCAAGCCTGGAACCATGCCAAGGACTGCACATAAATGTAATTACCCAAGCAAATTAAACCCCTAGGATTTCTTGCTTATGGAGGGTAGAAAAGGTTAACCATGAGCCAGCAGTGTGCCCTGGCTGCCAAGAAGGCCAATGGCATCCTGGGGTGCATCAAGAAGAGTGTGGCCAG